AAATACTAAGTCTTTAACAGAAATAAAATCCCAAAATAACAGTATAAGTTGCGGAACTAAAAACCAACACAGACCGACATCGGGGTGTCACCAGTCATGAGCATCTAAAACAATACTACAAGTCTGAAAGTCTACTCCACTACTACATAACTGAATCAAAAAGGGAATAAAATAGAGGGAGAATGCACTGCACTGCGAATCGCCAAGCAGCTACCTAGTAAATCTCCGAAGATCTGTTGGAAACTATCAACCCTCAGTAGCAGGACTTGTAGTGCCCGAATCTGCACATAGGGGTGCAGGGAGTAAAGTGAGTACTCCAACTCAATGAATAATAACAATAAATGAAGACTGAGCGATATAAAATCACGTTAAACACAACAATAAGCTATAAGAGGTAGAACAAAATCAGTAACACAATTAAACAGTGAAATCTCATAAAACACCTTTTAAGTAGTCAAACAATTAAAGGAAAAGCAGCTAGAAAGGTAAACACACAAGGACTACCCCTCGGGCTCAGTAACAATAACAGAATCAGCCCCTCGGGCAATATCACAGAACAATACCAACCCCTCGGGCTATATCTCATATCACAATGGGTACCCGCACTCACTGGGGGTGTACAGACTCCTGGAGGGGCCCCTTACGGCCCAAGCGCAATATCAAGCCATCTCGTGGCATCATAAACAGGCTCTCGGCCTCAAATAAATCACAAGCCATCTCGTGGCGTACAATCTCAGGCCCTCGGCCTCATTATCATAATCAGTATATCACTGCTGCGACGTGTAGCCCGACCCAAAAGTATCCTCACAATACAGGCCCTCGGCTTTACTCAGTCAGAATCTCATAAGCCCCGCGGGCAACAGTAAAATATTGAGCTCAACTCAAAAATATCTTTAAAAATATCATTTAACGTGTTTAAAACAAAATAACATAGCTGAGTTTTTTCAAACCAGTAAAATATGGCATGACTGAGCACAAATGTGAAATCAAATAGTGAGGAAAATATCAGTAAAAATCCCCTAAGGGTTCAAACAGTTAGCACGAAGCCCAAATATGGCATTTAGCCCAAAACAAAATAATATCAAACAATTAGCTATCAAATACGCAGTAAAACAATCATTCGGGATGGACTAAGTCACAATCCCCAATGGTGCACGACCCCACGCTCGTCATCTAGCGTGTGCGTCACCTCAACATAGCCGAACGCTGTGTAATCCGGGGTTTCATACCCTCAGGACAACATTTAAAATCATTACTCACCTCAATCCGGCCCAAACTCTAGCTCGCAATGCCTTTGCCCTTCGAATTGGCCTCCGGATGCTCCGAATCTACCAAAATAAAAACGTAATCATCAAAATATGCTAAAGGGACAAAGCCAACTCGAATATAATCGAAAAACCATGCAAATCCCGAAATTACCAAAACTCGACCCCCGGGCCCACGTCTTGGAATTCGATAAATTTTACGTCATTAGATTCCTTATCTCCCCACGAGTTCATACATATCAAAAGTTCCAAAATCCGACCACAAATGGTCTTTCAAATCCTCAATCAAAGGCCTAGGTTTCTAAGCCCTAGCTTCTCTAATTTTACCCTTAATTACAGCTCTAATCCGCGAACTAATACCATAAAAAAGAGTTTTCATAATCCAAAACCTTACCTCAATGATGCCTCCTTGATTTCTCTCTTCAAAATCGCTCAAAGCTCCAAAATTCGTGTTTAAAAGTAGTGAAACCCTATGAAAATTGCGAAGGAGAAAATATAAACATTCTGACCCAGGCTTTTCGCACCTGCAGTCCAGATGTCTCACCTGCGTGACCGCTTCTGCGGTCCCAATGGCCGCACCTACGGTTTTAACTTAACGGCCCAAAACTACATCTGTGACGTTCGCTCCACACCTGCGCCATCGCAGGTGCGGTCAATTAACCGCTTCTGCAGTCACAGCCTTCCTAGGCCTCATCCGCATCTGCGACTTGTCGCCCGCATCTGCGGGGCCGCAGATGCGGTTATTGCAGCAACCAAAAGGCTTCAGCTCTTAAACTCAATTCCAAACCTTCCATCAACCATCCGAAATCACTCCGAGGCCCCCGGGACCTTAACTAAAAGCACCAACAATTCTTATACTACCATTCAAACTTATACCAATCTTCAAAACACCTCAAACAACATCAAAACCACCACAACACATCGAATTCAAGCCTAAGGTTCTAAAATCTTTCGCATTCCGCTTTTTATCAAAAAGTGTACCAAACCACGTCCGAATGTCCTGAAATTTTGCACACACATCCCAAATGACATAATGAAGTTGCTGCAACTTTCGGAATTCCATTCCGACCCCTATATCAAAATCTCACCTATCAACCGGAAAACGCCAAAAACTCAATTTCGCCAATTCAAGCCTAAATCTACTCTGGACCTCCAAAACACATTTCGATCACGCTCCTAAGTCCCTAATCATCTCCCGAAGCTATCCGAACCATCGAAACTCACATCCGAGCCCTCTAACACATAAGTCAACATCCGATTGACTTTTCCAACTTAAGCCTTCTTAAAAGAGACTAAGTGTCTCAAACCTTCTCAAAACCTTTCCGAACCCGAACCAACCAACCCGATCACATATAAAACCGATAATTAAAGAAAATAGAAGCAAAAACGGGGGAAATAGAGCAGTAATTCATAAGACGACCGTTCGGGTCGTCACATCCTCCCCCTCTTAAAAAAACGTTCGTCCTCGAACGAGTCAAGAAACATACTTGAAGCCTCAAATAGGTAAGGATATCTGCTCCGCATCTCCCGCTCGGTCTCCCAGGTAGCCTCCTCCATGGGCCGACCTCTCCACTGCGCTTTCACTGAAGCTATATCTTTTGATCTCAACTTTCGAACCTGACGCTCCAAAATAGTTGTTGGCTCCACATCATAAGTCAGATCACCCTCCGACTGAACCGTACTGAAATCCAGAACATGAGACGGATCCCCAACATACTTCCGGAGCATAGAAACATGAAACGCAGGGTGCACACTTGACAAGCTGGGTGGCAAAGCAAGTTCATAAGCCACCTCCCCAATCTCCGAAGTACCTCAAAAGGCCGAATGAACTGCGGACTCAATTTACCTTTCTTTCCAAATCTCATAACACCCTTCATGGGTGAGACCTTCAACAGAACCTTTTCACCAACCATGTAGGACACATCCCGAACCTTCCGGTCCGCATAGCTCTTTTGCCTCGACTGCGCTGTACGAAGCCTCTCCTGAATCACCTTCACCTTGTCTAAAGCATCCTGTACCAAATCTGTACCCAACAGCCTGGCCTCGCTCGGCTCAAACCAACCAACTGGAGATCTACACCGCCTCCCATACAAGCCTCATATGGAGCCATCTGAATACTCGACTGGTAGTTGTTATTATAAGCAAACTCTGCGAGCGGTAGAAACTGATCCCATGACCCTCCGAAATCAATGACACAAGCGCGTAACATGTCCTCCGATATCTGAATAGTGCGCTCAGACTGCCCGTCTGTCTGAGGGTGAAAAGTTGTGCTCAACTCAACCTGAGTACCCAACTCTCGCTGTACAAACCTCCAAAACTGTGAAGTAAACTGAGTGCCTCAATCTGAAATGATGGATACCGGGACACCATGCAAACAAACAATCTCCCGGATATATATCTCTGCCAACCGCTCTGAAGATTAAGTAGTACATATAGGAATGAAGTGCGCGGACTTGGTCAGCCGTTCTACAATTACCCAAATAGCATCAAATTTCTTCAAAGTCCGTGGGAGCCCAACTACAAAATCCATGGTGATCCGCTCCCACTTCCACTCTAGAATATCCATCCGCTGAAGCAAGCCACCCGCTCTCTGATGCTCATATTTCACCTGCTGACAATTGAGACACCGAGCTACAAATCCCACAATGTCTTTCTTCATTCTCCTCCACCAGTAATGCTGTCTCAGATCCTGATACATCTTCGCGGCACTCGGATGAATGGAATACCGCGAGCTATGGGTCTCCTCCAGAATCAACTCCCGAAGCCCATCCACATTGGGCACACAAATCCGGCCCTGCATCCTCAACATGCCATCATCGCCGATAGTCACGTCTCTGGAATCATCATGCTGAACTCTGTCCTTAAGGACAAGCAAATGAGGATCATCATATTGGCGCTCTCTGATGCACTCATATAAATAAGACCGAGAAATCACACAAGCCAATACCCTACTGGGTTCCGTAATATCCAACCTCATGAACCGATTGGCCAAAGCCTGAACGTCAACTGCAAGAGGTCTCTCCCCAACTAGAATATACGCCAAACTCCCCATACTCACCGCCTTTCGGCTCAAAGCGTCCGCCACCACATTGGCCTTCCCCGAGTGATACAAGATAGTAATGTCATAATCCTTAAGCAACTCCAACCACCTCCGCTGCCTCAAATTGAGATCCTTTTGCTTGAACAAGTGTTGGAGGCTGCGATGATCAGTATACACCTCACAAGACACACCATACAAATAATGCCTCCAAATCTTCAACGCGTGAACAATGGCAGCCAACTCCAAATCATGAACGGGGTAGTTCTTCTCATGAGGCTTCAACTGACGAGAATCATATGAAATAACTCTACCCTTCTGTGTGAAATAACACACCCAATACCAACTCTCGAAGCATCACAATATACGGTATAAGAACCTGAAGCTGATGGCAATACTAACACTGGAGTTGTGGTCAAGGTAGTCTTGAGCTTCTGAAAGCTCTCTTCACACTCATCAGACCACTGAAATGAAACACCCTTCTAAGTCAACTTGGTCAAGGGCGATGCAATAGACGAAAATCCCTGAACAAACTAGCGATAATAACCCGCCAAACCAAGAAAGCTGCGAATCTCTGTAGCTGAGGACGGTCTGGGCCAACTCTGAACCACCTCTATCTTCTTTGGGTCCACCTGAATACCCTCGCTGGACACCACGCGCCCCAAGAAAGCCACTGAAATGAGCCAAAACTCACATTTGGAGAACTTTGCATAAAACTTCTCCTCCCTCAATTTTTGCAACACCACCCTCAAATGCTCCGCGTGCTCCTCCTGACTACGCGAGTACACCAGAATATCGTCAATGAAAACTATGACAAATGATTCGAGATACGGCCGGAACACACTGTTCATCAAATGCATGAACGCTGCTGGGGCATTGGTTAGCCCGAAAGACATCACCAAGAACTCATAATGACCATATCGAGTCCTGAAAGCTGTCTTAAGTATATCTGAGTCCTTGATCTTCAACTGGTGATAACCCGAACGGAGATCAATCTTGGAGAACACTCTCGCTCCCTGAAGCTGGTCGAACAAATCATCGATACGAGGCAAGGGATACTTGTTCTTAATTGTTACCTTGTTCAACTGCCTATAATCAATGCACATTCTCATCGTGCCATCCTTCTTCTTCACAAAGAGAACCGGCGCACGCCACGGTGACACACTAGGACGAATGAACCCCTTATCCAGGAGTTCCTGAAGCTGTTCCTTTTACTTCTTTAACTCCGCTGGTGCCATACGATACGGCAGAACAGATATGGGCTGAGCGCCCGGCACCAGATCGATACCAAAATCAACATCCCCTGTCCGGTGGCATGCCCGACAGGTCTGCAGGAAACACGTCGGGAAAATCCCTCACAACTGTAACAGAATCAATATTGGGAGTCTCTGCACCGACATCCCTCATAAAGGCTAGATATGAAAGACAACCTTTCCCAACCATACGCTGGGCCTTCAAGTAAGAAATCACCCTGCTGGGTACATAATCGATCGAACCTCGCCACTCAATCCGTGGCACACCAGGCATAGCCGAAGTCACTGTCTTGGCATGACAGTCCAGAATAGCCCGGCACGGAGATAACCAGTCCATGCCCAAAATAACATCTAAGTCCACCATATATAACAATAACAGATCCACTCGGGTCTTCAGACACCCAATAGTCACAACATACGACCGGTACACACGGTCTACCACTACTGTATCGCCCACCGACGTAGAGACATGAACATAAGAAACAAGGGACTCGCAGGGCATATCCAGATAATGGGAAAAATAAGACGACACATAAGAGAAAGTAGAACCAGGGTCAAATAACACAGAAGCATCCCGGCGGGAGACTGAGATAATACCTGTAATCACCGCATTTGAAGCAATCGCATTAGGCCTAGCTGGAAGTGCATAGAAGCGGGCCTGACCACCACCGGATCGACCTCCCCCTCAGGGGCGACCCCTAGATGACTGTCCTCCACCCCTAGCTAGCTGGGTGGGTGGTGAAGTGGCTGGGGCTGAGGCTGATGGTTGAACCCTCTGCTGAGATGAATCCCCAAGACGACAAGGACACTACTTCCACAGCTGGACCATCTCTCCACACTCATAGCAGCTCCCGGGTGCTGGAGACGGGGACTGATGGGAACCCCTAGCACCGGAATGACTAGCAAACGCAACTGGCGTAGAAGAATCCTGAACTGATGGAGCACGGGACGAACCTTGGCTGGAAGTGCACTGAGTGAGGAATGACCCTGCTGAGAACCGTGAGAACCATAGCCTGATGATGCCCCGCGATAACCTGGGCGAGCTGACTGAGCATGCCTGAACTAACGGCCTCTACTGTGCTGATACTGGCCCCTCGAAGGAGCGCCCCCATAACTACCATGACCACGAGGCCTCTTGGCCTCCCTCTCCTCACGCTCCTAGCGATGAACTGACTCAATCTCACGAGCAATATCCACAACCTCCTCAAACGTAGCACTTGACACTCTCTCCCTAGTCATGAGAACCCGAAGCTGGTAGGCGAGGCCATCAACAAACCTCCTGATCCTCTCTCTCTCCGTAGCAACCAGCCAAATAGCATGTCGAGCTAACTCTGAGAACCTTATCTCGTACTGAGTAATAGTCATATCCCCCTATCTCAACTACTCGAACTGCCTACGCAGCTCCTCCCTACGGGACTGTGGAACATACTTATCCAAAAATAGAGCGGAGAACTGCTACCAAGTCAGAGGTGCCGAACCAACAGGCCTACGCCTCTCATATGCCTCCCACCAAGTGAAGGCGGCTCCGGTAAACTGAAAGGTTGCGAATGCAACCCCGCTGGTCTCCAGAATACCCGCGGTGCGAAGAATCCTCTAACATCTGTGTAAGAAGCCCTGGGCATCCTCGCCCTCAGAACCACTGAAAGTAGGAGGCTGGAGTCTGCCAAACCTCTTCAATCTGTGCTGCTCATCCTCTGGCATAACTGGAGCTACGTAACCCTGAGCAGCTGCCACTGGCTGGGCTAGTGGTGCCTTAGGTGTCTGCACTCCTTGAACCACCGGATCGGGTGTGCGGGCAGCGGGAGTCTGAGAGCCTCCCCCTGCCTGAGAAGTGGCTGCGGCAGTAGAGACCGCGACCGCCGGAGCAAGACTCGTACATACTGTCAAAATCTGGGCCAAAGTCTCCTGAAGACCCGGAATCAAAATGGGCACAACTGATGCCTGAGCTGGTGCTGCTAGAGTGTCCACAACTGGGAATTGCTCCTGAACTGGGGCGGCTGGTGGATCAGCAGGTGCTGCCCCAGCTGCTGTGTGGGCTGCACCTCTACCCCCACCACGGCCTCGACCCTAAACCCAAACCCAGTCGTGATGGCGCCTCTCGTGAAGACAAGGCCAGCCGACACACTTCCAATTCACTTTAAGCAATTAGAATAATAAATACTAAGTCTTTAAGAGAAATAAAATCCCAAAATAACAGTATAAGTTGCGGAATTAAAAACCAACACAGCCCGACATCGGGGTGTCACCAGTCATGAGCATCAAAAACAATACTACAAGTCTGAAAGTCTACTCCACTACTACATAACTGAATCAACAAGGGAATAAAATAGAGGGAGAATGCACTGGGCTGCGAATCGCCAAGCAGCTACCTAGTAAATCTCCGAAGATCTGCTGGAAACTATCAACCCTCAGTAGCAGGACCTGTAGCGCCCGAATCTGCACACAGGGGTGCAGGGAGTAAAGTGAGTACTCTAACTTAGTGAGTAATAACAATAAATGAAGACTGAGCGATATAAAATCACGTTAAACACAACAATAAGCTATAAGAGGCAGAACAAAATCAGTAACACAATTAAATAGTGAAATCTCATAAAACACCTTTTAAGCAGTCAAACAATTAAAGGAAAAGCAGCTAGAAAGGTAAACACACAAGGACTGCCCCTCGGGCTCAGTAACAACAACAGAATCAGCCCCTCGGGCAATATCACAGAACAATACCAGCCCCTCGGGATATATCTCATATCACAATGGGTACCCGCGCTCACTGGGGGTGTACAAACTCCGGAAGGGGCCCCTACGGCCCAAGCGCAATATCAAGCCATCTCGTTGCATCATAAACAAGCTCTCGGCCTCATATCAATCACACGACACCTTGTGGCGTACAATCTCAGGCCCTCGGCCTCATTATCATAATCAGTATATCACTGCTGCGGCGTGCAGCCCGACCCAAAAGTATCCTCACAATACAGGCTCTCGGCCTTACTCAGTCAGAATCTCATAAGCCCCTCAGGCAACAGTAAAATATGGAGCTCAGCTCAAAAACATCTTTAAAAATATCATTTAAGGTGTTTAAAATAGAATAACATAAGGGTTCAAACAGTTGGCACGAAGCCCAAATATGGCATTTAGCCCAAAACATAATAATATCAAACAATAAGCTATCAAATACGCAGTAAAACAGTCGTTCAGGATGGACTAAGTCACAATCCCCAACGGTGCACGACCCACGCTCGTCATCTAGCGTGTGCGTCACCTCAACATAGCCGAACGCTGTGTAATCTGGGGTTTCATACCCTGAGGACAGCATTTAAAATCATTACTCACCTCAATCCTGCCCAAACTCTAGCTCGCAATGCCTTTGCCCTTCGAATTGGCCTCCGGATGCTCCGAATCTACCAAAATCAGAACGTAATCATCAAAATATGCTAAAGGGACAAAGCCCACTCGAATATAATCGAAAAACCATGTAAATCCCGAAATTACCAAAACCCGACCCCCGGGCCCACGTCTCGGAATTCGATAAATTTTACGTCATTAGATTCCTTATCTCTCCACGAGTTCATACATATCAAAAGTTCCGAAATCTGACCACAAATGGTCTTTCAAATCCTCAATCAAAGGCCTAGGTTTCTGAGCCCTAGCTTCTCTAATTTTACCCTTAATTATAGCTCTAATCCGCGAATTAATACCGTAAAAACGAGTTTTCATAATCCAAAACCTTACCTCAATGATGCCTCCTTGATTTCTCTCTTCAAAATCGCCCAAAGCTCCAAAATTCGTGTTTAAAAGTAGTGAAACCCTCTGAAAATCGCGAAGGAGAAAATATAAACATTCTGACCTAGGCTTTTCGCACCTGCGGTCCAGACGTTGCACCTGCGTGACCGCTTCTGCGGTCCCAATGGCCGCACCTGAGGTTTTCACTTAACGGCCCAAAACCGCATCTGCAACGTCCGCTCCGCACCTGCGCCATCACAGGTTCGGTCAATTCACCGCTTCTGTGGTCACAGCCTTCCTAGGCCTCATCGGCATCTGCGACTTGTCGCCCGCATCTGCGGGGAAGTACCTGCAATTCTTCAACCGCAGATGCGGTTATGACAGCAACAAAAAGGCTTCAGCTCTCAAACTCAATTCCAAACCTTCCATCAACAATCCGAAATCACCCCGAGGTCCCCGGGACCTCAACTAAAAGCATCAACAAGTCTTATACTACCATTCAAACTTAGACCAATCTTCAAAACACCTCAAACAACATCAAAACCACCACAATACATCGAATTCAAGCCTAAGGTTCTAAAATTTTCCGCATTCCGCTTTTGATCAAAAAGTGTACAAAACCACGTCCGAATGACCTGAAATTTTGCACACACGTCCCAAATGACATAAAGAAGCTGCTGCAACTTTCCAGAATTCCATTCCGACCCCTATATCAAAATCTCACCTATCAACCGGAAAACGCCAAAAACTCAATTTCGCCAATTCAACCCTAAATCTACTCCGGACCTCCAAAACACATTTCGATCACGCTCCTAAGTCCCAAATCATCTCCCCGAAGCTATCCAAACCATCGAAACTCACATCTGAGCCCTCTAACACATAAGTCAACATCCGGTTGACTTTTCCATCTTAAGCCTTCTTAAAAGAGACTAAGTGTCTCAAACCTTCTCAAAACCTTTCCGAACCCGAACTAACCAACCTGATCACATATAAAACCGATAATTAAAGCAAATAGAAGCAGAAATGGGGGAAATGGAGTGGTAATTCATGAGACGACCTGCCGGGTCGTTACACTTATAATATTAAGAACCCTAGTCTCACCCCAAAGTGCATGTTATAATATTCCAAACTTATCGACT